AGGGCTATAGGTCTTATAGGTTCGAACAGTGCTGGGAAATTGTAAGCACCGTTGAAGTCTTCGCTATTAAGACAAGGCTTTTTCACAAATAGTGATTCTGTGTGTGCTGGGCTGCCAAAGCTGCTACACAAATCTACTGCAAATTGGGTGGTTTGACAGAAGTATAGTCCTAGAGTTCTGCAGATGAGAAGTTTGAAATCAATGTGCCATCGAGCTTTATCCCTTCTGAGGGCTGTGAGAGTCTGTTCCATCCTCTATCCTGGCTTCTTCTGGTTTGCTAGAGACCTCTAATGTCCCTCTACCTATAGAAACATCTCAGATCTCTGCCTTCATCTTCATGCAGCTTCTCCCCGGGTGAATGTCCATCTCCATCTTTACTCCTTTTTAAGGACAATAGCCACATTGGGTTAGGACTCATCCTAAGACTTCACTTTAGCTCATTATCTCTATACAGACCCTAACATAAAATAAGGTCATGTTCTGATGTACTGGGGGCTAGGATTTCCACAAATTAATTTTGGGGTGACACAATTCAAACCACAATGCCATGTGACTGGGGATCTTTAAGAAGAGGACAGATGACCTATCATCAGAGATGTTACTGGTTTAGTACTGAAATGCAACCAGCTGAGGTTATGATTTTACAAAACTTCTATTGGTCACATCAGGACTCTGGACATGCAATTTAGGGTGCAGTAAAAAGCTTCATTTCTTAAATCAGTGAGGTAACTTGGCCTTACATATTAGTGCAAGAAAAGTACAGAGCAATATAGCTGGCATCTCCTTGGTCCATTTTCCTGTTGAGACCATAGGGAAAATATCTAGTTATAATCTTTCAAGGCAACACACAATGCCTGTGAGGAAATAATAATATTCTATCATTCCTGGACCCCAACAGACATTTTCTGCCTTCCTGTCTTACCCTCTATGCAAGTATGGAGGCTAGAGATATCCAATAGTTTGAGGCTCACTTCCACGTGAGGCATCTGAGAGGTTTAGCCTTTATTCTATGGTCATGTAATTAATTAATGACAATTCTGTGATTAGATGTAAGTTTCCTGATAATCTATCAATTACAAGTCAATTTATTGAGCATTTTCTATTTGTTTAGCACTGTGATGTGTTAAAGATTAAGACCTTGTATCAGTCAAATCAAATCACTAAAATCTCCAGCATTGATTTAGAATCCCTGTCAGTCCAGGAAAAGTGGACATTCTGCTCACTATTAACTAATCTATAAAAGTGACCAGGATTGATTTCTTTTTCTTGCCACATTAAATCCAGATCACCCAAGGCCTTCACCTTACCCTCCCACTGTAGGCAGCATTTGGAAATGCTGTTCCCCTGCTCCTTGCTAGAAGGATCTGGCAGGCTTCTCCTACACCTCAGCAGGTGCTGGGGGTAGTTCTTCCACACATACCTTGGAGAGGATGGCACTGCACTCGAATTGGCCCTGTTTCAGTATTATTGAAGTATAATTGACAAAACCGCATATATTCAAAGTTATGTTTTTATAAATGTATACATTGTAAAATGATTACCACAATCAAATTAATGACCATATTTATTACCTCATGTAGATATCTTCATATATATGTACATGGCAAGAATACTTAAGGTCTACTCTGTTATCAAATTTCAAGGATACATTACACTATTAACTATAATCATCATTTGAATATTAGGTCTTATTCATCTTATAAACTGCAAATTTGTATCTTTGCCAACATATTTCTACAGAAAACAATGGTTTAGATATTTCCTGTACAGTGATACCACCTCTACCTCCTAACCTCAGTTATCAAACCAGAAAAGTGCTGTGTATGACTCTCCCATTTATCTCATTTAAGATAAGACATCCAACTCACCCTATTAAGTTAATGCATCAGTCAGATTAGCTGCATAACAAACAACCACATACAAAAAAAACCCAAGCTCAGTGGAAATCAACAAAAAGCTCTCCCCAACACACACACACACACACACACACACACACACACACACACGTGCGCACACGTTGAAAAAGATTTGGCCACATTTGTGGGCTGAACTTGTCTGGGCTTGGTTCCACCCCGTATGTTGGGTTTAGATTTCCTCTGCATGTTCCCATCTCCCCTGGACCAGGACCTATTTGAGGCATGTTTTTGCTATGACAAAAGGCAGGTGGACAAGAGGGTGAGCCTAGTCTCATGAGTACCTTTCAAGATAGTATCTCACCCACTAACCTCTCATTGGTCAAAGCAAATCACTTGGGCAAGGCTAAAGGAAAGGGGAAGAACTTCCACCCACCACAAGGTCATGGTAAGGATGTGCAGGTATAACACTACTGCAAGGAAGTGAAAATTGAGAGCAATAATTTGATCTGCCCCTGTAAAGCAAGGGTCCAATTCTTCAGGTCACTCATCGAGGGCTTGCACACCGTGAATCTGGCCTTCTAGTGGCAGCAGCTCAAAATTACACCGTTGACTACTGAGCTCTTCAGCCTTTTAGTCTCCCCAAATTCCACACCACTTTTTCACAAGCAGCTCCTCCCTCCTTGTGCTGCTTTATTAAAAGCCTTCTGCCAGCCTGGGACGTTGAAAAATCCCACCTGCATCTAATATGCAATAATTTACTAATAGAGCCCAGTACCGTTTGGGTTTTTCTCAGTAAGTTGCTTGCCTGTTGCATTGTTGTTGGCTTTGTTCCAAAAATCCATAATAGGAAAGAGGGGAAAACTATTTAGAAGATGATTATCCAAATATCCAAGCCATTCTCCAGGTAATGAGTCTGTATTGAGTCTAGCATTCAGAACAAAAGTATAAGAAGAAAAGAAAAATGAAAAACTTTAAAGCCATTCAGTTGTTCACACCTCTCCTGTCTTTTCAGACCTATTAACCAGGCTGGACTCATCAAAGTTTCAACAATGTAATAGTTCAGCTATAAATTACCCTGCCGGCCAGGTCCTGAGGTTTCCAATAATCACAGGCAAAGGGAGAAGTCAAAACAGAGAGTGTGGGGAGGAAGGGAGAGCCCCAGCAGGAGGAGGTACTGCAAGGGGAAAGCCAGACTGGCAGGGAGAGAGTGAAGCTGCCAGAGGCAGTAGATGCTGGGGAGCACGGTACGGGATGGTGGCAGCCTGAGGTTAGGCTGCAAGTATGCTTTCTGCTCCTGACAAAATGAACATCAGCCCAGGCTTCTAGCTCCCTCCGACACAATCAGCCTGGAAGAACCACAGACATGAGAAGAAAGCCTGGATCAAGAAGGTTCACATCAAAGCAATGGGGAACACTCTGGTGGACTCAATACACAGCAGGACCAACCTCTGTGTGGTGGGGAGAGCAGGGGCAGCCACAGAGGGCAGGCTGGGGGAAGTTCTTATTCTGCTCTTGCCCACTGCCCTTTGGAAGGATCATGGCCTGCCTTGCTGTGCGGAAGAAGCCAGCACCATCAGCCAGAAGGTAGACGAGCAGTGTGCTAACCTGGACAGCAAATTGCTGCTAAGAACAACAGCTGCCTACCAGCCCTCAGTGTTCACATCCCCACTCCTCCTCACCCTCACCTGCAGACCCTCGAGACCAGAGAGTCACAGTCAAATCTGCACTCTGCAAAGCGATTTTGAATTTCATTCACAATAAGGCATACGTTTTACATGACTCACTCCATATCCGGTTCCGTTGAATGAAAGTTTCATAGAACAATGTGCTTACTGATGGGACGCCCTCTATATTTTTCAACCTACTGTATTGTACTCTATTCTAATCTTTCTTTATTCCACTCTTTTTCTTAATGCCAGCTGATTCACTAAATTGATTTCATGTCCCATTACTGGGTTTCCACTCAGAGTCTGAAAAACTGATCTATAGAGCTCATTTCCTATCCAAGTTGCTTTTCTCAGAGCATTTAAAGGAAGGTCCTGACTGAAGCTGTGGACTTGGGGAGGGGTGGGGGTGGGGGGCAGAGGGTTGGAATGGTGGACTGCGCTTCTATAGTACCTGGAGCTCTCTGCCTAGAAACCCAGCCCGCCTCTTCCCAGACTGGGGTCTGATCCCTTCTCTTACTATACATAACCAAACCCAGTAGCTGTTAACCCAAAGCAACCTGAGTCCACAGGTCCACCTCCTTCCTAAATCGTTCAACCACTAAGAAGAAAAGATGAGCTGAAAAACTTGTACCACATGAAGCAAGTTAGTATAATAGATCTAGATTTTAAATAAGCATAATAAATATCTCCAAAGATAAAGTTAGTAATATGAAGTAGAAATATGAAATGAAAAGAAAAGAGTAGTGATTTTATTTATGAAAAATGTAACAGTTAATATAAGGAACACCACAGATTTAAAAAACAACAGAAAGACTTAGTCAAAGAATGAATTAGGTTGCTAAAATATGAGGCTCTGTCCCAGAAAGAAGCAGGAAAAGATAAAAAGAAAATATTTGATAAATTGGAGACATGCCAATTTCTGGATAATTGGAGTTTAAGAAGAGAAGGAAGCAGTCATCATGGAAAATACATTTGAAGAAATAATGATAATGTATTTCTCATAATTAAAGATTGAAAGCTCTAAAAGAGTTCCAAATAAAATATATGAGAAAATCAATACTTTGACAAATTAAAATAAAATTAGGAATATTGATGATGAAGGAAGGTGCTAGAAACTCCCAGAGATAAACTTACTGACTTCAGAAGATTATGGATAAATGACAGATGACAGATAGATGATTGATTGATAGATCTGAGATATCCATAGGATAAATAAATATGATAGATATAGATAGATAAATAGATTTGAGATATCAGTGGGATAAATAAATATAAGTATAGGAAAGGCAGGAACTCAGATTTACTACACATTGTTTTTGTGTATATATCAATACCATGTGATCTATGAGAGAAACTAAAAGAAAACAAAAGTAAAAGGATGAAAAAGAGATTCAGGGAAAATATGAAACAAAAACCAAAGTATCAATTTCACTATCTGGTAAAATAAAATGCAAAACAAAAAGAATAACAAGAACAATAAAGAATTGCCATCTAACCATCCTTGGGTTATATGTACCTCACAATATAGACTCAATATGTATAAACTAATAATGACAAATCTAGGAGAAATAGGAAATGAGTCAACACTCCCCACCCCAGAAAGCACAAATTATTTAGTCAGTTTTGTATTTGTTGCATTTAGTGGCTTCCTACTGCCCCCGAATAAAGTCCAGCACCAGGCTTTACATGTGAGGTCACTATCAGGCCCTGGTCATCCTGTCCCTCTTTACCTTCCCAGCTCCCATTCTCACAGCCCATCTTGCATGCCTTCTTAACTTTTTTGAATTTATTTTTCATCTTCATAGATGCTATTTCTCTCTCTTACCTCCAAACTTTAACAACTGTTGTTCTTCTATCTAGAACATCTTTCTCCACGTCCTTACCTGCCTAACTACTACATATCTAAACCATCTTCTCAGCTGAGATGTTACTTCTTCCACAAAGCCTTGGATATTTTTCCTTCACAACACCTCTTCACTCATACCCTTCCTCTAACGTTCCATCTCTCCTGCTAGAGTAAGGTAAGCAATGTAAGGAAAAGTCGGGGTCTGAGATGGTCACCAATGGACTTCTAGTGTCCAGGACACTGAATGTCATGGAATGTACTGATTCCAAAAAAGTACTTGTAATAATGGAATGAAAAAAAAAAAAGGAATCCTCTCAACTTCAGTTTAAACAATGCAGAATTAACATAGACATTTATCTCTGACTCTGCCCAGGCCCAAATAAAACTTTACTGAAATGCCACTAAAAGGACCTTGTTTAGGCACAAATACAATAGGACAACGAGTTATAGGAGATGGCTTATCAAAGTGAATAAATATGAATCCTACCTGGTGGAGTATGTGAGTATGGAAACCAGTAAGAAACAAGACATTAAGCACCAAAAAAGAACTGGAAAACCTCATGACTGAAAGCACTGGATATTTTTTTTACAATGAAGGCAGAATATATGGCTGAAAAAAACTTTGATTGAAAGGCTTTATATAGAGAAAACAGAGACCTCTTCTCCACTCATACCATTGCCTTAGCCAGCCCAGTGGTAACAAAAAACTGACCTGCCCTATATTCAATCAAAAGAAAAGAGGTTTCCACTGTGGCTACACAGTTCTAGGGGAGCTCTAGACTTTGAGACATCAAAAAGCACCAAAGCACAATCGGATGAGACACTGTACAGAAAACAAGAAAGCTAAGTGAAATCTTGCAACTCTTCCTCCCACTCTCTCCTCCACTTTGTTCACCCCTTCTCAGTCAGGCAATTGGAAGAGACAGGAGATCTCTGAAACCAAGACCTCCTATAGGAAAGATCTACCCATTTTGACCTATGGGGATCAACTGCCAGATCACAAATTGGTGAGGCCCACCACCCAACATTAATATTCTAAGAGAGATAAAAGAGGATTCTACATCCATAAAACAAGAACAGAGAGCTTATAAAAAGGATTTTTAGCAAATAAGCAGGTGCTCTTGGAACTGACACAGATGTTTATGTGCACACACTGCGCCATGTTGGAGAGGAAAAGGTCACTGTGGTCTGCTCATCTACTGACCTTTGGCTCCTTATTTGTGGTCTCAGTCACAGGCCCCGTCTTCAACTCCAATTTGTAGCTCTTGAGATTCCTAAGGACCCTCAAGCAAATAGAGATTTATTTGCATGAGAACAGACCTGACTGGAAAATAATACATGGCTTAGAGAGGTGAAGATCATGTAGACAAAGGACAGAGACATAAAATGCTGATCTCCTGATACATATTATTTGTTCTTTAATTCATGTATAAAACACATCAGGAACAAAAAAAAGATGATTTGTTGTTGTATTTCAGGACCACACAATCTGGTGAGCCAAGAGGGAGGTAAACAAAACTTTTCCAATAGATGCAAGGATGGTGCTTCTCCAAGGTTGAAGGTATGATAGCTCAGGGGGGATGACCAAGAACAGTATGCCTGAGCTGATTCTTAAGGAGTAAAGATGAGAGAAGGAGCTGGAAAGAGCCAAGGCAGAGGTGAAAGTTACTTCTGTAGTTTGGGGGTGCAACAATGGTTTTCAAGAGGTGGACAGCAAAGATCAAAGGTCAGCCACAAGAAGATTTGAGGATGAAACGTCAGATGGGTGGTAGATCATCACAGAGCCAGTGTGTCGTGCCACAGACTCTAGACTGCATGTCACAGCCAGGAAAGAGGGAGTTTTCGAGTTTTAGACAGGGATGAGTTCTTGTCCAGTTTACATTTACTGCTGTGGATTCCAGAGGCTACTCAAGAAAAGACGAGAGGAAGTCGGAGGATCATTTGGAAAAGATCATGCCATGAAACAGGTTGGGAATGACAGCACTGAATTCAAAGAACAACTAGAAGAGTTCTCCAAGTGCCTCCAAGATATAAAGGGAAGCAAAGAAGAGGGTAAGTAAGAAAGATGGGCCCAGTTAAGGTAGACACTAAATCAAAGAGGTTAGACTGGACTCAACATGCCTGTCCTTCTCCAAACTTTCTACCCAATGTTAGAGGGATGGTAAACCTAGAATTCTTCAGTGTCCACAGGTGGACTTCTACAATCAGGTTTTCCTTGAAATCTGTGTTTAATCTTCAAAACTCATATGAGTTTTGCATTCTACTTTACATGAGATCAGTTTGCTTTAATTTAACAATACTGTTCAAAATTACCTTCTCGTAAACATGTTTAACTTCCCACAGCCCAAGAAATCTTGTAGCTACTCTGCATTACAGAAAGCTGTTCCTGTGGCTCCTCCTGCGTCATGAATCCCAATGTTGGTGGGGCATGGAAAGGAGCCATTGTAAGGAACCAGGTCTCCTCAGGTGAGCTGTAAGGTGAAGAAGGTGTTTGAGAAAATTAAATGAGCTGGAGTGTGCTGGGTGGGTAGGGCAGTGTGAAATGGGTATTAGAAAGGCAGGAAGGGGATTTTGAGATGATTGTGATGAGATCTTCAACCAGAGGATAGTGGTGAATGGAGAAAAAGCAAATGGGTACATAGGAGAGATTTTTGAAGACTTGGCAAATGATTCAATACATGAGGCCAGAAGAAGAAGGAATCAAAGACAATTCTGACTTTGAACTTGGGATCAGAGGCCAGGGTTAAAGAAGAAAAAGTTGAGGATCAAGACTAACATACTGGTGTCAGCTGACCCCGAGTGTGCATGTGTATGATGCAGATGTGGAAATGTGTTCTAGATGGCTCCACGCTGGGTGTAGACAAGGAGATCTAAGCTAAAATGCTTCTGTGAGAGCTAGAGTCATCCTCAGAGGGGCCATAGTTGACACTGCAGGAATAGCAAAAGTGTGAGGCAGTGATGGGAAAAAGAAAGCACAGGAGTTGGGAGCCTCAACCTTGGGAAAAACATACAGATCAGCAGTGGGAAGGGCAGAGGATACTCCACGCAGTAATGACAAGAGATCGCTCGACCCAGTATGTACACATAACATGATCAATTATAAGTAACAGAAGAATTCAAACTGAATGAAGAAAGCAGGAGGGAAATTTTGTGGTTGTTATAGATGAAGAGTCCAGGGGTGGATCTTGACCTCAGGCATGGTTAGCCCCATTGCTCAAGAGACATCATGAGAAACCCAACTCTGCCCATCTACTTCTGCTTCTCTTTCCAGTGGCTTCACCTTGAGACAGATTTTTCTCATCACAGTGAGTCCTGGAAACTACAGGCTTACATCCTCTCATCTCATCAACCCCAGGTGAAAGAGAACATCTCATCCCAAATGTTTCAGCAGAAGTTACAGGTTTGACTGACTGGACCAGCTTGGCTCCCAGGCCTATCCTTCAACCAATCACTTTGGCCAGCCCGGGTCTTGTGAGTACCCACCCAGACTTGCCTCAAGTAAGGACTGGGAAAGGAGCTAACCTAAATGAAAAATGGTCAAGAAGCTCCTATCAAGAGTGCTATTAGAGAAGCAGAGAGTCTCATAAGATAAGAATGACTCGAGAAGCTAAGAGGCAGAGATAGAGTATCCAGATATGTTAGATGTCATACAAAGGCCAAGGTAGGGGTGACAGGGAGACAAGGCAGGGGAGTCACACCTGGCCAGAGAGGAAACAGCGCAGCTCCCCTCTGTCTAGTGTTTCTCTCCTGTCTTGGAGTGAGGCCAAGAATGGTCGACCCTTCTCCAGCTTCCCTCCTTCCTCATACGCAGTCTGGCATCCAGAGTCCTAGCTTTCAGCCTTTCCCCAAGAACTTTTCAGAGCCACACTTCCAGAAAGAGCCATGCCTTTTTTGCTAGGGTCCTCAGGCCCCTCAGGCAATAAAAAGTTCCTCTGGCTTCTGAAAGCAGCCTTTTAATTTGAGAACCAGGTTCTCCCTGACTGGACTCCCCCAAAACACACAGCATATGATACCCCTTGCCCAGCAGGTAATTTTCCCAGGGAAAAGATTACCCCTCCCTGTCCTTGGCCTCTGACCCACCAGTTGTTTGCTGAGGCCGGCCCAGGAACCCTCCTTGGCTAGACTTCAGAGTTCCAGCCTGGCTTCGGGTGATGGGCTGGGGTTTAACCAAGGACCCAGAGGAGCTCCTGTTGTATGAATCATCTCCTCAGTGCGCCAAGACATCATACCAGACTTCACCCCGCACTCTTTCTTTCCCGGCTGCTTCAGCTCATTGGAGTTTAAAGCAACATCACTGGCAGCAGCTCATCTGGAACATCTTGGCATGCTCCCCTCTCCATGAAACCAAACACTCCTTACCTCGGAGAGTGGAGTTGAGAGTCAGACAGACAGACACACAGACAGGGAGCAGGGAGCCCGGTGGACACAATGAATGAATATGGATTTCCTGCCCATGCTGTTGGAAAGGGAAGTCATGGCAATCACATTCACTGTTAAAATCCTGCCTGGGACAGACCGACAGCAGCTCCCTTTAGGAAAGTGAGTGGGTTCTTTGTGTACGATGTTTTGAAGCACATTGGCATGCCGGGGCTCCCTCGGCCTCCTCCACACAACCTGAGCAGGGGTGAGAAGAGCAGCAGCCAGCCTCGGGCTGTGCAGCAGGAAAGGCTGGGAATAAGGTTCCAGAGGTTTCCCCTCACCATAAAAAGACAGAAATGCCTGTCTTCCCACTGCCCAAATACCCTTGAAGATGAAGGGGCAGATAAGCTAATCTATTACAAATTCCAGTGCTCCCAGGTCCCTGCCAGAGTCTCTTCTCCTTTAGTGCCCCAAGCAATAGCTAATATTTCATCAAAACCAGCTCCCTTCCATGCCCATCTGCTCCTCCTGTACCTCCACAAAGTTTGCAACTGGGTACCTATGTGCATATGCCACACACACACACACACACACACACACACACACACATCACTGGCCCCAACTTCCTTCCTGATTTATGACCCTACCTGGGCCAGTCTGGTTTGAAGTGATCATTTTTCACTCTCAGCATGCTCGAATCCTACAAAAATTTACACAAAAACACCCAAATGGTAACGCGCACACACGCACAAATGCACACCCCTACAGAGACTCCCAGAGCTTTTCCTATGAGATGTCCATTTCTGAGAACTGATTTCATCCTTTGTCCTCACTACACTCAGACCCAAATGTTCCATGTAATCAAAGAT